TTCTTTCAGATATTTGCGGTTCGCAAATAAAAAGGTTTGGCGGAACTCCCCGCGTCGTGAAAACATGCACATGTATGGACCAAGCTGAGCTCAGCGGAAAAAGAAAGCCATTTTCTTTCAGCCAGAGCTATTTGGCCAACTTCCCCGCTCGCGTCTAGATTTTATTGAAAGCAAATATTTTTGCAAATTACATTTTGAAGGCTGAACCGGAAAAGACGTGGCTTCAATAACCAAATTCTCATCTCGCCGGCGAGCGGGAGAGTCAGAGATCCATGGCAGAAGCAATTTGTTTGATTAATTTGAACAACGGGTGGGGGGAGATTTGGGGGAGTGGGGGTGGGTGTCTGTTGGAGCGACCTTCATTATGTAAATTGTATGCGAAATTTAAATAATCATCTGCAATTTAAATGCACAACAACACTTTGGGCCTAGCCCGACAATTAATCGTCGAAACACTCCCTTCGCCCCATTATATCTCTTCATAAAATATGCCAAGTGTGCGCCTTATGTTCATTTTCTATTTTAAGACAGATAATATATATTGCTGCCTGTTAGCATTAACTGCCTTCGTCTGCCAGTCAGTATCTGTTTCTCGTGTCTGCTTCTGTGCTTCTGTGTGTGTCTGCCATAAATAATTATTCATATTTGTATAAAATACACACAGAATTTAATTAAAAATTGTTTCGCTCCGACCGAAAGGGGAATCATCATCTCAGTGCCGCCTTCTTTATACCCGCTTCCATTTCCATTTTCATTTTCGTTTTCATTGGCATAATTCCCCTGTTCTTGGACACTTCCTTACACTTGTTTCCCCCTTGTTTTTGTTTGCCCGAAAACGATGAAGTTGGTCCAGTGGAGTGCCACTGCCATTTTGTCTCATAATAAAATTAAAACGAAATGAAACGAGATGAAAAAGTAATAAAGTCCTTATGGAAAATGCCAGCCAAGATGGTCAAAGCTTCTGTTTTAGCTTTCACTTCTGCTGCTGCTTCTGGCTCGGCTTCTGCTTGCAGAGCCTTTTCCATTTTCCATTTCCACTTCTGCTGCTGTTATTGCTTTGGCTCTAACAGCCAGTCTCCTTCTGTTTCTGGCATGGCTACAAACGTCGAATGGCTGAGAGGACAGCAGCAGACGGTAATGATAAATACGAGGGGAGTGATGTCGAACAGACCGTCAACCCTTTAGATGATACCCATTAAATATGGTTGAAGTGATAGGGGGAGTAGTCGAATTCAAGAAGGTGATCCATGGTTTCTGGAACATATGAATGTAAATTGATACGTAGAGTTGATGCTGCACACCCTGTTAGGTGAATCGAAGAAACTGAGCTACACTTACTATATAAGCTAGTTTTACTTATGGCTTATACTACTCGATATCATATATTTTACAGAGCACATTAATGGCTCGCACATTTCGTAGGCCCTTTCCGCTTGCAGCCATTAATATTTGTTTGTTGCTAGTTAGGGCTTTTGCCACTGGCTTTGGCTTGTCTTTGAGCTTTGAGCACAACATTTTTGAAATGCCGAGCCGCGTCCTTCGGTCCGTTTTTGTTCCATCTGAGGGACTCCCGCCTTCGGATCCCCCAATTCGGCTTGAGTTTCGGGGAATGGTATGGGGTATGGCTTCTGCCGGCGCATAATTAAGCGGGAATCGCACTCCATTGTGAAATATTCTCGGCCATTGCATTTAAGTGTTTAGCTCGTAAAACCTGCGGAATGGGGATATGGGACGGAGGATTCCCGGGGACGGGGAGCCAGACAGTGAATTCATTAAACCATTAGACAGACTCCGGCTGCAGGGGAGGCGATTACCGAAAGACGCTTTCCGGCAAAGAGCTCCGAAAGTCTGCGAACAAATCAAACGGAAATCAAAACCCAAACAAGTAAATCAAGCAAATCCCGAGCCCCAAGCCCCGAGAACTCGAGCCTTTCAAAAGGGGGCGGGCTGCGGAAAAGGGGGCGGGACCGAGAGACACACAGACTGCGTCATCTGAAAATTGTTGCAATTACGTCGTAGTAAGCAACCAACAATGAGTGGAAAAGCGAAGGGGGAGGGAAAACATGGCAGGCAGGATGCGGAAAAGAGAATCTGCCCGGAATTTCCATAAACACAATGCCGAAATGATGCCCTCCGACCATTCAAATTGGAATCGCCCAGGGTTCCGAAAGAATCACTCTTGTCAAAGAGTCCCAGTGCACTGAGAGAAATAATATAAGCAGGGTAGTTAAAGTGGAAAAAACAAGCATATATTTAAGACGATTACCTAAAGGGTAAAACCCTAAAACATTATTTTACTTTATTTGCAAATCATCTTAATCTTAACCTCGGAAATCTTATTGCTTTCTTTTCGCGCAGTGCATTTTCAGAACCACTGCCAGCGGCAGAAAAGTGCCGTTCGCCGCCAGTTGTTGCTACGGTAAATATGGGCGGCAGCCACCCCCATTGAAATGTGGGCGGTGGGGGCGTGGCAAGGGGTGCATACATTTGCGTGATTTACGAGCTGTCTCATATAGGCCGACGGATCGGCTGGAGATGACGATGATGACTGCGATGACTGCGATGAGTACGATGACTGTGACCGAAGTCCGGGATCAAAGGAAGCTGGCCGCATCGAGTGGAACATGCGGCGTGACACGAGCTGATTAAAAATGGATTTGGCTCATGAATGAAGGATGGATATCGCCAGGCGAAAAATAATCAAAAACGGGAGACCACAACATGTGGTAGTGAGTAGATTTGGGGCCTCCGATGATTTGTTCAATTAATAAATTATAAGGGGGTATTAAACAACTGATTGGTTGCATTTTAATTCCGTAAACTATTCAGCATCAGTGTATGTTTTGGTACAAATTAGCCATTAAAACTGGCTTAGTAAAGCAAATAGTTTTGCGGGAAAACAAATCATGGCAGCTGATTGTTTTTTGGTCTGATGGAAACTTAAATAGGCTCCCCTGGTTTTCGTACGGATCCTGCGTGCTGTGAGTGGCCATCACTATTTGCGCTTTGACCCGACGCACAATGGCACAACGTTGTCAACGCAATCAAGCAGCCCACAGTTGTTGCTACTCATGTTGCTCGCCCCCTCGTGTTAGTTGTTGCAAAACAGAAGTGAATGGGACAAGTGGACAGAGGATAGTGTTCCTCTGTTCGGAGGAGGCGCTCTGGAGATGAATGAATGCGTCATGCTGGCCAAATGTACCAGTGGGTGTTGGTTGCCAAGCTGTTTGGTAGTGGGTAGTCGGGTGGTTCGCTTGTTGGGTGGTGCAAGTGGGTTACGAGTTTCAAATTGAATTGTTGCCAACACGTGACCGGGCGGACGCCCCGTCAATAAAGTCGGAATGAGTGACAGGCCTACAAACATACAAACTGTCTACAAGTGGCCACTCCCCACTCTCCCACTCCCCCCATTACCCATCCTCACAATCTTCCACATCCACATCCCTGATGAATGGCATATTAAAAACTGTATGCCAAATGGTTTCGTCTTTGTGGTATTTTCCGTTCGGCTTTCGGGGTTGACCGACCAGCGAATCGCAAAATGTAATTTGCGTAAAATGAGTGCGGAATTCTGCGGCAGAGAGCTCGCTAGTTGATGTTTAGGGTTCGAGGTGAAGGAGTGGGGTTCCCGTTTCAACCGAGAGACCTACACTGTTGCAAAACAATGGGCAATCGAGAAATCCCCTAAGCCGGATGAACTAATACTCCATTTAGGCCTTGCAAATAAAGTGCTGGATTCGTGATGAGTTGTTGTCTAACTGGAAACAGTCTTTCAATAAAGTTAAACTTCTTCCTTATTGATTAAACTGATTTTTTACTGCTTGTTTTTAGTGCGATCTGGGAATCCTTGTGGGCATCCAGCGTGGGATTTTCATTTTCCGCGGTGCACTTCCCTGCACGCATTTGTCGAGTGCCTGGCGCAATCAATTCCCAAATCGCATTATGCCGCTGCCAGAAGCGAGAGTCCTGAGGAAAATTGCTTGGTGGCTTTTCCGGCAGAGCGGCGACAGCGGGGACTGCAACGACGGGCAGTATCTGAAGGAGGAGGAGGAGCAGCGCCATCGACATCCTTCACAGCATTTGGCGTTTTATGTGCGTCAACATCAGCAAGTCGCCAAGTGCATTGCGTGCCAAATAGTTTACGTGTCAGTGGCGACAAGGGTTCGCGGCGGGCGGGGAAGCCCGGCGGTGCATCTGCGATGTTGCGGCATTGTGGCTCTGCCCGCGGCAGATGCACCCAATCCCACTACTTTATGGCATTTTGTTGCCCTCTGCCAGTCAACCAGTCAACTCCTAGTCGGCGATGTCCACACGGCAGCTCTCGCCAGCATGCAAATGCGGATGCCAGGCACTCGAGTTCGAGTTCCCGGATCGAAGACTCCACTTTGTTGTGCCCACAAATCGCGGGCACTTTGTTGCAGAGTTGTCGAATCGAAATTGCAGCTTATGATTATTTGATTAGTTGAACTTTTCGCCGCATTTGTCTTGGCCGAGAAATCGAGGACAAAGTTTAATCGAGGGAAGTATCAATAAGACATTGCCTGGTTTTGTGGCAACTATATTGTAGTTTGGAGCAATGCACTTGCCTTTTCACCAGCTATTTCGACTGTCTATTTTCGCTTCTTCAACCTATTTTTGTAACCAGGAAACCTTGAAATATACACTTTATCGAATTCATGAAGCGAAAAAGTAAAATTCAACTTTAAGAGTAGAACTACCTGAAAACTCTTTTGGCAAAAGTTCTGTGCTCGTGGCAGCAAAGCAAACACGGTGCGTATACTTAACCTTGAACTTGAGCAAACTTCGGATCAGCTGGACTCTATTTATAAGACGCAGTTGGGTTCGATCGGAACCAACAGTGCCAATTTATTTTTAACTAAAACTTTTGGGAGTGAAAGGGCCTATAAAATGGGATTGCGAAGCTTGAGAAAGTCATCAGTCAGCTGCTCGGCGCTTTCGAGTAAACTTAGTTGCACCCACAAAGGAACAAAGGATCCAACATGAGGTTCACTCTTTGCTTCTTGATTGGTAAGCCGTTCAGAACCACCTTTGTCCACTAACCTTGACCTTTCAATTTGTTTCTGAAGCGAGCGTTCTGCTGATCGGCTCTTCGAGCTCGAATTCAGTTCCAGAATGTGGTTGTACGGAATCAACATCTACTCGTCCGCCACCAACAACTACAAGACCACCGACAACCTCTTGCGCCCCTACAACAACAAAGCGGACAACCACTGCAACAACCAGAAAACCCCCAACTACCACTTGTGCACCTACAACAACGAAACGGACAACAACGAAGCGGACAACAACGAAGCGGACAACAACGAAGCGGACTACAACAACTAGGCAACCCACAACCAGAACGACAACTAGAAAACCCCCGACTACCACTTGTGCCCCTACAACAACCAAGCGGACAACAACTACAACGACAACCAGAAAACCTCCGACTACCACTTGCGCCCCTTCAACAACGAAGCCCACAACCACTACAACAACTACAACGACAACTACCACAACAACAACCACCACCACGACAACTCAGAGGCCCACAACCACCACGACAACAACCACCAAGAGACCGACAACGACAACCAGGGCCACAACCAGGAAGACCACCTCTAGGAAGACCACCACCAGGAAGCCAGGAAATGGATGCCATCCAGGAGGTGGACCCAAACCAGGAAGGGGATGCAAGTCATGTGGTCCTGGCGGAGAGCGCTGCGAAGGATGCCCAGACCAGGAGGATCTCTGCAAGGAGTTGACCAGCCAGCTGAAGAAACTGGAGAACAGAATCCGGCAGTGCGTCTGCGGAGAACCTGAGTGGCTGCTTGATTAAGAGCTCCACTGAACTAAGGGAAATGCAGCACAGTTTTAAGAAGAGAAATCGTGATGAAGGACCAAGGATATTGAACTGATCACCTGAACTTATTTTGTTTAGATTTTGTTATGTTTTATTGTTGTTAATTAAACACCTTTTCTAATTTTGCATACGAAGATTGTGGATATAAGTTTATTACCTACTTAGAGTACCCCGCCCGCTTAACTGTTTATTCGCTAGATACTTTCTTCCATCGCTCAAAATTATCGTTTTTATCTGAATGTATTCGAATCGCTTTCCACATTTCCCCTTTTAACGTCCCATTTTTCGGTGTATTTCCGTTCCTATTGACATCTGCGCGTTTCCTTTGCTGGCAGACTTGCCAAAATCCATCACCATTCAATGTCACATCATCATCATCATTGACATCTATTCCATTGATCCCCGCTCCCCGCTCCCCGCTCCCCGCTCCCCGTTTCCCGAATCCATCTCTATTCATCTGTCGCCTTTAGTGAGCGTGCACGTTTTATAATTCATTTGCAGTTCCTTCAACAATTTCGTGAATATTTCATTCGGTTTCGTGTGGAACAATTTTTACAGCTCGTTTGTCACTTTCCCACCTCGGAGTGCCCGTTTCCCGCACTCTTTCCCATTTTCCCCGTTTTCCCCGGTTTCCCTCGACGGAGAACCGCATGCAGCACTGCATGAATAATGCAGTGATCCGATCTGTGGGCGGAATCTGTCACAGATATACTCCCTTCGCCCACCGAGCTCCGAACATGTGCATACTTATGCATCCGCCAGATACATTCGAAGCGACTCGGTTTATTCACCGGCGAGGAGCAAAGACGATTAGCTAATTGACTAATTGTAATTGTATTCATTAGGGGCCAGGGGGGCGGGTGGTCAGGTATTAAGCATTCATAATCTATCAATTAATTAGGATTCTGTTCGGGTTGTTGATTGAAGGGTGGGCAGTTCCAGAAGATACATGATATAATTTGACGGTCAATAAATCATTTGAACATGGAACACATTTTGCGAATTGTTTTTTAAATAGAGCGCGAATAAATAATAAAGCAAGGCATACCCGAAATTAATTAGTCAGGTTGAACTAGCTTTAAATAAAATAAAGTAAAGCCTTTGTACATCCAATTTAGTTTGTGCATTTACCAATTTGCACTAAGGACTTTGGTTTTTTGGTGACAATGTAATTACTAAATTTTGAATGCTTTCTATTTCCGGGTTCTCTGCTCAGACTACATCAATTGCGGAAGCAAATCCAATCCATTAGGCAACTCTCCTCAAATATAGATACCCATTTGGGCCTAGTTGCACTTTTTCACAATGTCGAGCAACGAGGAGCAGGAACATTCAATCAGGCCCAGATTATTGCGAAGTACTGCACACTCCTGTGATTTCTAAGCCAATCACACTGGCAGATGCGCAATTCCATACTCTCGTATTGAGTCGAACATTCGGTTCCCCTTTGGCGATTTTCCTCTTGCCCTCGATTGCCTTTTCCTAAAACTTCTCATCTTGCTACTAATATTCAACACTTAAAAAGACAAAAAAAAAAAAAAAACGAACTGATACTCTGACAAAGAAATAAAGCAAAGGGTTTATTTTTCATTAAGTAATATCTATTGGCAATTATTTTAAATGGGTTAAAGTTTAATGGCTGTTTTCCAATAATCCGATATTAAAGAAAACCTTTTTGTACAAGTGCACTTCCCTTTCACCGTCGCCCTGATTTTCCCAATTCGCCCCCTCACTTTTAATTTCGAATGTTGGCTTGCCGAAAGGCTTCTCGTTCGTACCTCTCCGTCCACCAGCTCTATCTGAACTTTACGGTTTTCGGGGGTACACGAGCCCCCAATCATGTATAATGCATGTGGCTGCAGTGGGCCAAAAACCTCCAGAAATGTCGATGGCTGTCAACGCAACTTCGATGCGGAGACAATGTAACTCAAGCTAGACACAATGTTGCTGGCTGCTGGTTGCAGAGGGGAAGGAAGGGAGGGACACAACCACTCCAGTGGCAACCACCACCAACCCGTCGAGTTGTGCAACAGAAACTGCAATGACTGAACGATTATGCCAATGGCAGGCCATGTCTAAAGCAAACGATTTGTCACAGTGCCAATGGAGTTGGGACCAGTTCTCCGCCGGAGTAGAGTTCCGTATTTCGGGGAGTGGGTTGCGGTACGTCGGGTTTTATTGCCAATAACGGTGGAGGGTAAAGGGGAGGAGCTTTCGGGGGCACAGAGATGCAGAACCACAAACACTTTACCCAAAAATGCGGTGGAGAGATAGGTATCGACTAGGGTTTTGCAAGGTAGGAATGGGATCTTCGCTTCAGAAAAAATAATTGTGAATTAAAATTATAAAAAATGTATACAACTTTATGGACAATTTAATAGTACTAAGAGCAAGAAAATATTAATAGATCACTCAAGTTAAAGTCAAGGGCTATATAATGTTATTAGTTCTTACACTTTTGTGGCAGTGTATTCCACCCGGCATGTGGGCGGGTTTTTGTTGAGTGGCCAGCCCGCTTCGATTTCGAAACTCCAGCTGCGACAACTGCACGGGAGTCCTTCGTCCTTGGTCCTTCGAACCTCGGTCCCCTGACTCCCTTTTCCAGCTACTCGAACATGACACCGAGTCCAAAGTCGTTGGCTGTTCATCCTTTTCATCCCGCTGCCACTCCCCCTCCCACTTCCCCTGCCAAACTCCTTTTCCCTTTCTGTGTCCTTGCCTTTTGCCCAGCTGCAAGTGACAGTAATTGTTTTATTGACATTGATTGACATGGCAGCGGGGGCGGGGGCGGTCGGTGAGGGGGTGAGGAGGTGGGGAGGTGGGGCGGCGCAGGAGCAGCATCCTTCTGATTTCGTCGAAGGTCCTGGCAGCGAAGCAGGCAGCCAAGTCAAGCCAAAGACAAACTGCAATGCCAAATGCGAATTTCAATCCCAATTTTTGTTTCGCCCCTTCCCCTTCGGAGTTGCTCATTCTCCACATTTGGGTAGCTCAAAAATGAGCAAAAGATTTCAATTTCATTTTGATGGATCGCATTCGGCCACCCACTTTTCATCCCCATTTTCCCCGATTCATGGTGCACTTTTTGGCTTTTCCCTTCCCTTTGTTTACCCTTGTAAGCTGCTGATTAAACCATGCAATGTTGGAGCTTCTTTTGGCTTTTCCTCCGGCTTTTCCAGCTCCTCCGGCAGCTGGTAGCAGATGGAGAGCAAACCATCGATGGCCTGGTGCCCCAGCACAATGAATGTTATGTGCCATTGAAGAAAAGACAATTGTTTGATTTTCGATATGTTTTGGAAAAGCTGCACTGAAAACATTGCAACAAAACATATTAAACAATATATATATATTATATTTTATATTTATTGTGAGCTTGCTAGGAATGGCAAAATTATATTGCTTCCATTATAAATAAACTATAAAGGAAATAGATATACATATTTCTAAATATACATATATGTGTTTTCCTTTAACTGCGGATGCGGATTAGTCCTTGTGTAATGCACATCAATCCCGAAGAACGACCCTGAAATTATTGAAGCTTCCTTCTGCACCATCCATTTTCCCTTTTCATTTCCATTTGTTGTCATGGCAGCTATGACTTGGCTCCTTGGCCTTCCTCTTGTTTTTCATATTAATTATGAAAGCGCATTTGGCGAACGGGAAATTTATTTGGCTTATATTTCGATTTCGGTTTCGGTATCGGTTTTGTTTTCTTTCCTCTGCTTACGTTTTTTGCAATATTATTTGCCATTTGCGGATACTCAGGGGAGCGAGCGAACGAATTGGATGTGAAATGTGATGCTTAATTAGTTTTTATGCTGCTGCTGGAGATTAAGATGATGATCCTGATCCCGACGATGATGCCGATGGAAATGAGGAGTGGAAAGCGGCAGGGAGAAGCTTAATTTTCATGAGTTTGTATCATTTGGCTTGGCCTGTGAGCCGATTCCAAACAAACTCGGCCATAATGAGTAATAAATTTTGATAAATTCGGCTGGTTGAAGAGATCGTAACATATCCTTCAGAATGTTGTTGTTGATAATGTTTATATGATGAATAATTTTAGTTCAATAGATAAATACAATTAATTTTATGCACATTTGAATATATTTTTAATAACTTTTTTTTTTTTTTTTGATTTTAATAAAGTAAGAAAAAAACTTGAAGACACACACTTAGAGTGGTTTTATTTGTCCACTAGAACCTCGTACTTGTCGTACCTAACTTTGGTTCCCGACACGCTGCAGGCCTTCAGGCTGAGAATCAGGGTTCCGGGAAGTTGGCCATAGGGCGTGATTGCTCGACACACGAATACCCTTTCGTCGTTGAGATTGGTTCCAACGGCTACCAAGCCCCTCTCGAACTTGCCATCGTGGCTGGTTATCCACTCGAAGGAGGAGCCTGCCGAAGGCACCAAAATGTCATAGTTTTTGGTTCCTATGTAGTAATATGTGCCGTTGTGCCAGTTGATCTGTCCGATTTCCGCTCTCAGCTGAACGGGGAAAACTCCTTCGTACTTCACGCGTCCCACATATACGTAATATCCTTGGGTTGAAACGCCTCCCAGGACTGCGTTCTTTGGAAACGGATAGGAGAGGTCTCCAGCTATCCATGTGTGCTCATTATCTGTGGAAGGGTTGGGAAATATTAGCTCCTGGATTGGGAGGCCTCCCGCGGTTGGCCAACTCACCGTACGTTGCTGGAGTGGCTGACGCCAGAAGAATTGGGGCCAAAAGAGCCACCGCCAAACAACCAACTCTGACCATCTTGAAGTGACAACTGCCGTTTAATTTACTGAATTGCTTTTTATAAGAGGTTTCTTATCTAAAAGATGGGTAATTACCTACCTATAGAGCAATCGACGAACTATATCAATAAAGTGGGTGTGTCCTGTCAATACGGCCCCTCATAAATCCATAAATTTATGGAGTGCTAGTGCTAGCCCTTTTATCTTACTCTACCCCACCGAACATGATTATTATGGGTAAATACTTTTCACATAAAAGAAAACACAAATTAATATTGAACTTGTGTGGACATTACATGGAACCTCTTGAGCAATTCTCTATAGAACTATGGGCGTACATTTTGCAGCTCGCCCTTTTGTATTTATTTAAATGTAGTCACAGTCTTGCGCAAAATAGTGCCTGACACACACAAGGAGTGCAAAAAGATCTGCAGTCGACAACAACTTTGAAAAACTGATAACGGACGGCAACCGGAAATGTCGAGACCAGGCAACAACAACTGCAGCCAGGAGGGGGTGGCATGTGGGGGGAGGCGACTGGAAACTCTGGTCAAGCTGGCAAAAAGAAAACCGCCTGTACCCCAGTACACGTTGCAAAAAGCGCACTATTTGATTCAATCTTATCTAAGTTGGCTTGTCTTTATTTTTTATTTAAACAACTTGTAATTCTTTATTTATTTTCAAAAGAATCTAATCGTAAATAAATATTGATTTAAAGTTGTTGCCTTAGATAGAAATCAAAACTTTTCATTTAGGCAATCAGAGTTTATTTGTTTTTGATAGACTAGCAAAATGCAATTTCTCTGCGCCCATCTTTTTCTCTGCGTGTAAAATCCCAGTGCCAACGATAAAGTTGCAGTCTGGTCCGCCATAACTTGAGTGCATAAATCTTGGCCAGGTTTTGTGTGTTGCCTGACGCACCCTCTGCAGCTCAGAACAGCCCCCTCCCCCTCCCACAAATCTCCTCTGCCCCCTCAACCCCCTTGAGCCCCACCCAAGGTGACATCTTTGGTGAGTGGCACGTTAAAGTAGCCAAAACTCAATTCCACCCCACTTCCACTTCCATTTCCAGTTCCACTGCCCAATGTCCAGACACTGCATAATAAATTGCAGCCGTAGTGTTATAAATATTCGGAGGCCCTCGACTCCGAGCTCCCGTTTACCCCCGATTGCGATCTTAGGCAACAATTTCGCACATGGAGCTTGGCTGGAGATTAAAAGCACAAAACGGAAATGATGACGCAGCTGATAGAAATCAGAAAACAATAAAAACGTAATGCAGAGACATTTTTATGTCGTGGGGGACATTGAATGCGGTATTGAGGAATGGCACATACTCTTCTCCTGGAGGATCGACTGATAGATTGAGTGAATATATGGCTGGATGGGTTTGAAATATAAATATAATGCATTGAGTTCCAAAATACCGACTATAGTTGAAAACTCAAGAACTGTTGCATGCTTCTGCACGAAAAGGTGGGCTCTCCAACCGAAAGGTGCAAACTCGAAAACAATAATAATGCAGTGGCTGCCGCTTTTCCTCTTCCCGCTCCCATTTCTACTAGCTGGGGGAAAGGCCTGTTAAGGAAAGTGGGCGGAGTGGGTGTGGGAGTGTGCTCCACCGTGCCGCCAAATATGTGGCGACAACAATAAATTAATGCGATTTATTGCCGCGATAGGAACAGGACAGCAAGAGGCCGAGGGACTTGCAAGGGTGTAAAACAGGGTGTCGAGGGTGCGTCCCTTTTTCGACCACGTGTGTGGGCTTGTCCGGAATGCGGTAGATAAGAAGTGCCCTTAAACCCACCCACTTTCCATGCAAAAATTTGTCCCGGGGAAATTCACGATGATCCACATGCAATGCAGCCGAAAAAATGTGTATGGAAGGCCCAACCCTGCGATTTGTGGGCCATATTTAACCCCTCCAGTTGGCAGATAAGCCGACTTACTTACCGTTTAATTAGGGCCTCAACGAGCATTAGGGAAAAATGCGCCAAAAGCAACTTGAGGCACGCCCCCTGTCTGGCCCATCAAAATGCCTTTTTAATTAAAACCCAAAGAGGAAAAAAAAAAAGGGGAAACAGGAAAATTCTCGCCGCCAAATGATGTGTGAGAAGTCGATAGAGAGCGACGGCGGGCGCTAAATCACAATGGCAAACAGGAAGTCAGGGAAAAAAAGTGAAAAAGCGAAGGGGTGGGGGAGTCCCAAAAACCGAGCAGGGTGCATGCAAAGCGCTGCGGAAAACTCAAGGCTGGAAAATCTTGTGTGAAAATTTGTTGAGCGTGCAAACTTGCCTGCTACTTCGCTGGTCTGGGGTTCGTCTGGTCCAGGGACAGTAATTGCATGAAATGCTTGGAAAAATATTTCTGCTGAGAGCCGCACAAATCGTTCTTACACGGAGAGAAATTTTAAAGTAATTTTTGTTTAAGATTTTTCAAACCTTTTTTCCTGTTGATTTTCATATCGAGCGCAGCTCAGTTGTTAAATATAAATATATATTTTTCCCAAACAAGTGATAAGTTTTAGTTGCAGTACACAAGATTTCTCTCTGTGTAGGCGAAGGGGCGTGCTACGGATTGTCTGGTGGCTGGTTACTGGTAACTGGTAACTGGTCCCGTGCCAGACGCTAAGCTGCCACTAAATCACAACCGAAAGCCGCTGTTAAAACACGAGGCTGCCCCCGGAAAACTCAGTTGGTGGTTGCTTTGGCTTTGGCTTGGGTTTTGGGTTTTGGGTTAGGTTATTGGGCTCTCAGTTCTCGGCTCTCGACCCGTGGCCCTTTTTTTCGGCAGCAGTCGGTGGTTGCAACAGCCGCTGGCAGGACACGTGCAACATCCGGATTCCAAGGAGTGGGGCGGCTGACTGACAGCAGCATCAGAGTCCGCCGGAGCGGGATTCTCAGGGAGCCGCAGGCCCTTCCTAGTAACTGACACTCCCCGCAAGATTGGATTTGATTAGAGAGCCGGGATCGGGGGCTGCGCCACTCCTTCGGAGCTCGTTAAACGCCTCCAAAGTGTTTCATTCCCGGGGGTATTCCCAGCGAGACCATAATATACGGCTACTGCCCACCTGCGTTTCACGTATTCAATAACCCTAATATGATTAGGTTATTCATAGTACTGAACCCCTTTGGATTCCCTTTCAAGAATATTTATATTTGTTTATCCAATATTGTTAATTTAAGAATGGGAATCTGTAGGTATGCCACTTTGGGATCGCATTAAAATTGGCCAAGATATGGGCTTTGGAAGTGCAGCTAACTATCACTCCACTGCAAATCATCAAAAAATTAGAAAAATCTGACATGAACAAAGTATCGACCATCTACGAATGGAAATCTTTAAATGTAGTTAATTTTACTTTTGCAGAGGGTATTCTAGTTTTAGATACAAGTTGACAATTTGGGAAAAACCAACATTTTTCACTTTGAAGTACCAGGCGAACAGAATGAAATAATAGGTGGCTTCTCTTTTTTTTTTAAGATTATCAATTTGATCCCACAAGTATGCCACACAATTTTTATGAAAAATTTACACACCCAAAAAACGCCAGAATTATTTGCTAGGCTTATAGTATACATTTTGGGTCAATCCATGTCTGGTCAATTAACTATTTTTAAATTTAGAGTCCAACGCTGTTTCCCCGTTCGCTGCCTGGGCTGAAGCCATGTGGATTTCACGGACGAGCCACATCAGTGAGCTAAAATAAGGTTACAAAACAAGAATACTTTAACGATCATTAGGTCTTTTTTTAGTGGAATGCAGCGGGCCACTTCAGATCCAGGAATGATAATCACAAGGAATATTATATAAACGTTTTATTTGTTTTCTTCTTAACACTCTTGCGCACATAACTTCCCGAACAAAGGTTGAGATTATCGGTTCGCTGGTGAGTCAGCACCCTCATAGATCGGAAACATTGCGTATGTCCACGCCCATTTCCTCGAAGTAATCTCCGTCCTCGTTATCAGTATCGCATAGCGCCTGTTCCATGCTATTTCGTGACCGATTCCCGGACGATCTGCTCCGCGTCCTCAGACTCTCGAATGCCCTCTGGAAAGAAACGGCCTTCTCGGTGTTCCGCCTGTTGCGACTTAGTGGGATCAGCCAGCGGTGGGCGACATTGGCCAGGACGATCACCAGGACCACGCAAATGAGCAGGCCGGCAATCAGCGCAGGATTGGGTGCCCTGTGGGTGGTGTCCACGGGCCCAGCGATGTCCTGCGGGTTGACCTTCCAAGTGAAGCGCTTTTCGGTCCGCTCGGGAGTGTCGATTGCTGATGGATAACAAATGTTATATAGTATTTACATATTTGAAGTCAAAAACAAACTATTTTCTTACCTGCAGTCTTTTGGGTAGTGGGTGTTGAATGCGTTGTTGATTTCGGCGTGGTTGTTGTTGTGCCAACGGTTTTGGCGGTCGACTTTTGTGTTGTTGTGGTTGTTGTCTTCTGTGTTGTATAGATTTTTCTTGTGGTTGTAGTTTTTGGTGTTGTTGAAGTCGTTGTTGTTGTTGTTGATGTTGGTGCTTTCCTCGTTGTTGTTGTCGGCGCTTTAGTGGTTGTTGTCCGCTTTGTGGTTGTGGTTGGCTTTGGTGTCGTTGTTGTGGTCGATGTTGTTGTCCTTCTGGTTGTTGTTGTTGTTGTTGTAGATGTTGTGGTTGTAGTACTAGTTGTTGGCGGTTTCCTTGAGGTGCTCGTCGTCGTAGTGGAAGTGCTGGTTGTTGGCTTCTTCGTGGTTGTTGTCACTGTCGCAAGCGTAGTCGAGCCCAGTTCATCATCTGGCGTTGTCTCCAGCTCCTTGGTGCACTCCTCGAGGTAGTCCAGGCAACAACTTCCCTCCGCAAGGCAGGAATCATCGCAGGCACAACCCAAGATGATGGAGCCACGTCTTATCTGCGATCCAGGATTTGGGGTGTCACAGCGTCCCGAGCAGTTCATCATGTCGACGACCAGCGCAAACTCGCTGTCGACCGTCGGCGCCGGTGGCTCTGTGGTGGTTGTGAAGCCGTCCATCCCGCACTCGCTCCCCGTCATCAGCTTGACGTCATCGATGGCGATGTCTCCGAAGCGGGCCCTCGCATCCGTGGCCGTGAAGATCACCTGGAAGTCCTCCTGCATCTCGTCGATGGTGATCGTGTGCTCCAGCCACACTGGTCCCTGCTCTCCGCTGATTTCGAATTTACTGGAACTAGATAAACATGTTTCAATTTAAAACGGGACAACAGCCACTTGTATCTTCTAACTACAATTAAAATTTCAAATTTGTACGAAACTCAAGGAAATAAAAAGATTAATCGTTAGTACAGATAAGTTTCCCATTGCGAAATACTCGTATTTCTTTAGAATTCCATTGCGAGTCCCAGTGCCGCAGAGACTTATCAAAACGCGCATCCGCTGTAGGCGAAACTCACTTGGCCCTGAACCTGCTCCACATGTCGGTCAGCCGCATCGAGAGGGGCTTCACGGAGACCACCAGGCTGCCGACGCCGTCGCCGTACATGAAGTAGTGGAACCGAAAGCAGCAGGCGGTCTTCAGGCTGAGGGACCTGGGGTAGACCGGCGAGACGAAGTGGTAGCTCCCGTAGGCGCCCATCTGGGTCTCCATGCGCATGTAGTGGCCGCCCGCGCCGCTCATGAAGGTGTGGTCGTGCCGGGGACCCGTGCGCACCGCGTGGAACTCGGCCACCGTGCTGACCCGTCGCCAAGGCGTCCGGAAGGACTGCTCCGCCACCCAGCCGCACTGGTCCTCGCTCTCGAAGTCGCAGGAGTGGTCCTCCGAGTGGTTGCTCCTGCGGCAGGAGCCCAGCTGGGTGCTCCACTCGCTGCCGTCGCAGAAGGCGGTGCGACTCCCGACCAGCACGAAGCCATCCTTGCACACGATCTCGGTCTTCAGGTCACCCAGAATGGCAAACGCGTTCTCAGGTTGCTCCAACTCTTCGCAACCTCTCCCTAAAATAATCGAAATGCGGGTGAAATTGGAAAACCACGAGGAAAGTCGCATAACACTTACTGGCACAGAAGGGTTTCTCCCCGCGAATACGACCACTTTGATCGCAGGTCTGCATCATATTGCCCTGCAGGATGTATCCCCGATCGCACCGGAATCTCACAATGTTGCGAGAGCGGCTTTGGGTCGAGCCGTGTTGAAAACCTAAGACTCTGTCGCATCGTCCGTTTGTGGGATCTATACTATATATCAGAAGCACTGTCAGAGCCAGCAAAAATTCCATTGCTGCTGATGTTTACGCCCGAGAGAAAAAGAAACGACTGACTGGCGATCGACGTCCGACTCTTTCTCAAGTCGGGCTTTATCAGAATCGTTGTTTAATCGGTTTAAGAATAAGCGGGTGCCCAAAGGCTTCGTTCCCCGACTATTGCTGCCCTGTTATGTACGCTGTTTTGCATGTTCAGAAATGTGTTGTTTATACTATGTTGTTTCCGAGTTGGGAACTTCCCGCTTTCTATTTATTGTTGGTTGGTATAATCATCGCTAGTTCATCCCCGTATTAAGCCGGTAAGCTGGGATTGCAGCTCGCCATTCAAATGCAATTATGCGCATCTCCTGTCGCAATGGATTCCAAGGAGATGGAACTAAATGGCAGCAGCTTCTTCCTGTCGCACGCCAGCTTAAATTATGGCCATCTCCTGCAAGATCTCGGGAAATAATTGCAGGGGCTCCTGGCTGTGATTTATGTTTACTTCCGCTTAAGGGGTTATATACCTTTTTCAGAATCAAAAAATCGAAAAAAATTTTATAATTTTTTTTTGATGTACATACTATCAACAATTTTTCTGCAAAATTTTTTAGAGATCGGAGCACTAGAACCTAAGATACAGCCGTTCATAGCGCACGGTGTACAGTGTACCTAATGTCCACCTAAAACTTTAAACGCGATTATCTCGGAATCGCATTTTTGAGAAAAGGTCATTTCGGTGAGCACGATATCTCGGTAACCACTACATCGATCGATTTGAAATTTTGGGGGATTGTTTGTAGATACAATAGCTAGTTCGTGAACGAAGGAATTTTTTTTCGACAAATTTTTCTATTTTTTTGGGGCGAAAAACTAAATTATTAGACCTCGAAAAATCGGTTTTTTTGAAAAAATAGTCACTGTAACTGTAAAAAATTTTTTTTCGTAAAATCCTTCGTTCACGAACTAGGTAACACTATATACTAATGTAGTTTTTTTTCATTTTTTTTTAAGTTGAGCCGTTTTCTTGTTTTCATGCTCACCGCAAGCCTCTAATGAAAAAAGGACTTCTGCGGGAAGGACTATAACTTCCACAATACTCAAAATTTTCACTCGAAATTTTATACGAATTAAGTTAAGGACACGTACTTTGATAAAATTTTTATTGAATTTAAATAAAACAATGGTAACATGCTAAAAAAAAATAAATAAAAACCATGTATTTCTCTGGTGAAAAAGGTATATAACCCCTTAAGTCTCAAACAACTCGCAATCACGCCGCCCGCTCTCTCCACACCCCTTAACCTCCGCCGCTTTCGCAGTGTCGAGATAATCAGTCAATATTGACAACTACTTATTGGCACTTCCGATGAGCGCGAAACGGGGTGGAGTGGTGAGGGGTGGGATGGAGTGAGGTGGGTGGGGAGGGGTGGTGAAGGCCACGTGACCGGGGATCAGGAACTGCCACGTGTCCGGCAACTGCAGCGGAAAGTGTAGCAAATTCCCGTTCTCCGATTCTCCGTTAGCAATTCAAATTTCATTCATAATTACAATCAGTGAAACGGGAAAGCGAGGGGTGTGGACTCCAGGGGATGTTTTCGCCATGGCTCTTCTTATCGAAGGGTAGCTCCTCAACACACAGAGAAATCACCCATAATTATTTGTACTGTAAAATGTTTACAGCAGAAAAGTGCATTTTATTTTTATGCATTTACAAACTGCTCTTTAGTTGAATGCGTATATATTTCGCTCTTAAATCCTCAAGTTCTTCGCATAAATATCTTTTGGTGTACTCCGTTCTCTTGCGCTGTTCGTCTGATAAGTTCCTGCTTGCTTAAATATTTGCTCATTATTATTATTATTCTTTTATTTGCGCCTCTAGCCACTGTTGCCGGTGGTTTTGAAACTCCAATATTTGCGCTCAAATTACAGAGGCCAACCGCCGACTGGCTGTCAGTTGCTTGGCAACAAGGGCTGCTCGGCCCAATCGGTGGCCAGGATTAGCAGCAAATGAGCAGCTGTTGCCAGGTGAGGTCCTCCGATAATGGGTCCGAGCTGCACTTCCCCAGAGGTTAACAGTTCTCGAAAAATCCCTGACATGGCAACGCAATTATTGCTTTATTTTCTTTGCCATTAGTTTGAAGTAAATATTCGGAGGCTCATGTATTCAATCCTTCGAATGTGTTTTACTACCAGATTTATTTTATTTATATTCATTTAACGTTTGCTGACTGTGGCCCCGAATTAATAAATGAGTTATAAGATAAATTAAGCCTGTGCCTAACTTTCATCAGCTGTTCTATTTCCATGCATTTTGCAAGACCTAATTACGTTACGTTGGAACTTTCGCTCCCCAAATTGCGTTGGCGAATTTCACGCCAAAAACCGACACACACGTTCGAGTTAACGCGATTAATGGAGGCGCCTCGCTTCGGAGCAGCGTGGGGCTCGGAAAGTTAAATTTCCCCAGGAGTTAGATTGGCAAACTTCAAAGATTACGTCGACAATTAATAAAATTAAACACAAAAGCACTCAGCGAGGCCTGGGCACCGCAGACTACCGGGGCATTCCGGCGATTTACCTCCAACTCTGGCGCTTTCGGACCCGTGCAACATTAGGCAGCCGCAGGCGTGCCAAGTCGCTCTTTGGCCGGCTTCTGGTCGCATTAATTACAAACCAATGACCGCAGAGCACACACAAACGGAATGGATGATGGGCAAACGGGGCCGGACCGCGATGGACGGGCAATGCTCTCTATGGAGTTTGGGATTTGAAAGGGAAGAGGTTCATTATGTCACAGTTTTACGTTTCCCAAGCAAAATCCTGCTACTCTTGGATTTGTAACCCTTGGATTTTTGTTCCTAGAATAGTAACATAGAATGACAATCATTCAAATACCACGATTAGTATGGATCAATTTGCAGCAAATACTCGTAGATTGTTGTGAATATTTTGTCAAAGTAAGGGGAGCAATTATTTCAATAATTCCCCTCATGGCTTGAAGTCTAGGTGCCATCCACTTATGCTCGCGGATGAGTACTCATCGGGTCTTTAATTTGCGGTAATTTATGGAACTCATTATGTCCGCGGGCGTGCCTTCGACTGCAGTCGCGGGATTCCCCCGCGCCGCCGGCGATCTCTTGAAAGGCTGCCGCTTCCGACGCAGTCCGAAAGTTTCGCGTAATTTCATTTAAAGTCCTCGAAAGTTGCAATTGTTGATGCGGACGGGGAGGCATTAAGTTTGCGGTTCCGACTGTTTCGCCGCGCCTAATGGCAGCAGCTCCCGCTCATTATCCTGCTGATTTTTAGCACGACTTTCCGACAGGCCCGCAATTCCGCGAATTTGCACCTACACACATAAATGTGGCATAAATCCAATTAGACGCCACCGGCAGCGCTTTAATTGACGGCGGTTGCCGCCTACGTGCTGTATGAGCCGCCCCTGGTCACGGGCGGGTTAAGGGGACCCGCTCAGGGGTTAAGGATGGAGCCGCGCGGAGTAAATGAATTTCCACATGCCGCTTTGTTTTCGCCACCGAGATATGAATGAATGAATGACTGCGGTTCCCTTCAGCTCGGTTCAGCTCGCTGTGGTTTCGAGTTCCCAGGCTCTTTGTGGGCTTATATGGAACAAACGACAGCTCCTGTTTCTGTTCGGTGGCCCACATTTAACGGATTGCAGCTGGAGCCCAGCCAGAAATCGAAATGGGTTCATGTTCCATTGCAGGCACTGCTAGAAAAAATTGCTGAACTGAGATACTCGTATTTGGGAACAGTTTCTGGAAAGGAAGAAGCTCAACTACTCAAACTGAAGTGGGATCCAAAGAGTGCTACAACATTAAATGGATTTCTGGTTAGGGTATAACGGCAACCTCAAAATCTGATTAATATTAGAAAAGTTATGGACTTAGAATTAGTGAACTATGGTCAATGTTCAGCAAACCCATTTTCTGGAAATTTGCAAAGGGGTTACATCATTAAAATAATTTCAACATCCGACTGAAATTATACTATCCTCTGCCAGGCTATAAGTGTTCGATCCACTTAGCGGCTAGTTAATCGTCTCCATTTGATTTCGAGCTGATGCCTGGAATTTTCCCGCTTTCCCAGCTGTCAGCGGTATTCGAAGTAGCTGACTTTCGTTTCTTACGCAAAACTGCAGAAGTGACACGAACAGGAAGGCAAACCCAAGGACGAGGAGGTGGAGGGGGAGGGGAAGGGTGGTGGGGCGTGCGAGTTTCTGCGCTTGGCACTAAATTAAAATGTCAGTGTCGTGTTACTTCCGGTGCCAGGGTTGTCCGCCAGGGTTGCCAGAGTGTCGGAGTGCTGCACTGCCACTTAAGTCAAATTGCATGCTATAAATTTGGTGCCAATCAACTTAAACATGGCACATTATGCAACGCCTGCAGCTGCTCCTTTGTTATTAATGTAGATGTCTGGTGGTGCCACGCCCACTAACCCCTTTTTCGGGGAGCTAGCCGACACAACATTAAACTTGAAAAAATCTGAAAAGGCCCAACCGCAAATCAAAACGCAGGGAGTTTAATTTAAATTCTTCGTTTTTTGATGTTTTGCTTTATTTTTACCTTTCGTTTTAAAACTGAATAAAAAAATATTATATGTTTCGTATTTATGTGTGTGACTGCATGAGAGTGTTTGAGTGTATGCATAAATATTTTAGCTAATGTTTTCTCTTCCGTTTTGTGGGGTGGCAATTTGTTGAATTGAATGAAATCAGAAATGCATACAAAATAGTTAACAAAGTGTTCTATTTGTTTGAAGGCCCGAGGGCCTCAGATTCTGTCTCTACTTTTTCGTATTTGTTTCTATAGCTTGTGTTCTTCTGTGCCACTCCACTGCCGTCAGTCAAATTGCAAAATATATATTTTTAAATATTTTTGCTAAATAAGAAATCTGCTTTGATTTTTGTCTCGCTTTTTGTTGTAGTGTTTGCAAATATATTTTTAATGGATTCCGGTTCGTTTGGGGTTTTCAAATGAAAAGTTATGCTTTACTTATTTACAAATAATAAGTAGATGTATATGTACGTGTATATGTATATATATATATAATGTATATTCGCTTATCTGGTTTAGAGTGTATAATTTATATAATAAAGGTTCTCGTTTGCTCGCCTGTTTTATATTTTGTTTTGTTCATTTAACGAGATTTTTCCGTTTGCTTAAGGTTTCTTAATTCGTTTTATCCGCTTTATTTTGTGGCATTTGCTCTTAAACTTTTCTTACTAGTTAAATTCATTTCGAAATTGTTTAAAATTAACTACAATTTAATTTAAGTTGCCGCTGCTGCTTATTTACTTTGCAAGTCAAGTAAATATGTACAAATTACACATGTATTTACATTTAAATCTTAGCTACAAAAAATGTTTCCTCTCGTTCTCATTTCTCATTTGTGTCTGTGCCTTTGTCAAAAAATTGCAAGAACACATGATAAGGGGTTAAAAACACAACGCAATGCACAAACAAAACATTTATATTTAACTCAATAGGTCCGCTTGGTTAACATAACTTAATAAAACGTTTTCTACTTGGCTTAACGATAATTACAATAAAAATTTTGAATTTCAACACAAAGCTTGGACAAATGGAAAACAGGACAGAAGTGTTCGTTAGATGGTAAATTTTAAAAATTAAATTAAAGTTTTCAGAATGGAGCAGTATTTTTTTTGTTTTTTACTTTACTCTTTTTCAATTATTTTCAATAATTTGTTAAAGTTCTCTGCACTTTAGTTTTTTGTTTGTATCGTATAACTTACTTAAAGCAACGTTTTTCGTTTTCTCAGATTTGTTTAAAAATTTAAAATTAAGTTAAGGTAAGATTTGTTTATTTTTGTTTCGATTTTTTTATGTTTTTCTTGATTTTGTGGCAGGTCGTACTGTTTAAATTACTGTCGTGGATCTGTGCTCGCGAATGTCGCACAGACCCAACAAGAATCACTTACGAGTTAATTAGCCTAAGCCTAGGTGAAGAGTGAGATTTTGTTTTGCTTCGATCCTTCGAGCCTGCCCTTGAAAGTACGCCTTAGAGATTAGAGTTCGTTTGTTGCAACTGGGACCTAGATGACCATTATATTAACTACTACTTAGCCCTATGCTACCTGGTAAATCGTAACATTTAGTGCTTGTCCAGTGATGGTTTAATCCATGTGTGTTGGGTGTTTGTGTTTCTGTTTTTGTTGTTTTTTGTGTCTGTGTTCGTGTCAACAAAGTGCTGAACTAGAGCAACGATAGATCGGAGTCCTATGCCTAGGGTTATGGTATATGTTTCGCTGCCAATAAAACTCAACACACGTTCGTCGTATCCCCGAAACTAAGCCTACGTCGATGTACGAGTAATATATTAAAAAAGTATTCAAAATGGCCACTTTTCAAAAGATCTGCTGCTGGCGGAGAGCAGGAAGGTGAAATGAGGGTAAAATGGGTGGTTCGAGTCGATGATCGTGGAATTTAGCGTGTGTGTGTGGGGGGGGGGGTGTAAAGATATTAATTTGAGTGCTTCCGTTTCCGGCCTCGAACTAGAGCTCCTAGACAATGATCTCGCGTATGACGCGACGATTCCTGGCATTCGGCGTTGTCGAGTACTCCCCCTCGAAGCTGTCATCGTAGCTGAGGGACATGTGCTGCTGCGGCGGCAGGACCTCGTCCTGTTCCAAGTGCTCCATGTTGTAGGGATTGGGCAGGCCGCTTACGTCGTGATATGGTGAATCTGGGGGAGCAGAGGGGGAAATTGTTTAAATTAGTTTGCCAAAACGGGCGGAAAAGCGGCAAAGTCATGCTGAAACAATTAAAAACAAAATGGTAATCAAAGCAAACACACTGCTAGTGCTTTTCGGGGATGGGCTGGCTGACTGTGCATGGGCTTGAAAAATCATAGCAAACTTAACCAAAATTAGGTTCAGGCAACTCAAAAATTCTGCATCATCACAGTAAAAAATTAAACGTTTCTCGACTTTCATACGATGTCCTTGCTGACTCCAACTTACTTCAGCCTGCGCGCTCCGTTAGAGCGTAACATCCTGTATAATGTCCGCTGTATATTTGTGTTTTTATTGCGATTTGTTTTTTTTTTTTTTATTGTTTGGATTTATGAGTGGGCAAGACATGTGTGAGAGTAGTAGAGAAAAATAGCCATGTTAGGGAACAATTAATACTCGCAAATGCTTAAGGTCTAGCTTAAAATGAAGGGAGGCACTCTTGCACAACCAAATTGTCGCTCGTTTGTTCGGGCTTTTAGTTGCTATCGATTTTGTCCGAGGCCCAAATGCAATTGTTTTAATTTACCAGTTGATTGCCCTCGCTAACGACTTGCAACTGCTGCACAGATTGCTGCAGTCGTCGCCCCCACCGAAATCGCAAACGAATTAGAGGCATTTTCTGGCATTTGGTTCGGGGCCGCTCCTCCCTGGTAAACAGGGCATTAATTTATAATCAAAGGACTTGGCTGCTGAAACGACACCGATCCCCCGCCGCTTTGCAAACATCTTTGTCTGCTACAAATTGTTGCATATTTAAGCGCATCCCCATCACCACTTCGAGCCATGTCCGCAGCTCTTTTGGCCATGCAAATCCGGCAAAGGATTCAGCACTAACAACCCCCACGCATTCCCACACTTAAGCCCCCTTTTTTTGCCGGCTGCTGTGCTTTGGATTGCTTTGTGTGCCAAATCGTTGGAAAATTTATTGGAATTTGAATTTCAAAATAAGGAAAAAGCGGAGCGAGAACGAAATCGCCGCATCCAAATGCTTTTTTGGCCAAATACCAATGTGTGAATGTCTCACTCCTGGCAATCTTTTTTTGTAACCCGTTGCTGCACTGAAAAACACGACGTATGAGTAATACTATAAACTTATCATACATAACAAATATTTACGTTATTATTTTGTAACATCATTTCATCTAAATATAAATAGGTAAAAACTAATAGTTGATTTGCCTGATAGTTGATTTAAATTGATTTTTCTCGCACATTAAGACCTTTTCCCCCCGTGTTTTTAAATGTAAAACGTAAATCCTTTCTAACAACTGCTTTTTAACATATTCCATCTCCTTCGACTGGCTTTTCCGCAGCAAACCGCTCGCCGCTTTCCCCGGCTTGTTGGTCGTGTGAAAATTCCTGAGCGCGTTTGTCGCCATCGCCCCATCGCCTTGGATTTTTTCCACTCCACTTTGGCATCTGCATAAACTTGACCCAAAAAGCAAAGGGAAAAACGGAAAAAGGGAAAGCCAGCTAGCCAGGAAAGCTGGAAAGCGAATCCTTTTCGCCCCAACTATTTCCTGGCGTAGATTTTCAGCTGTTCGAAGATTTGGCTCTCCTTTTTCGGGCTCCTCTCCTGCCGCATTTTATGGCCAATACGTGAGCGGAGGATATTATGCGCATAACTTTATTGTGCCACGCCCACACGCCCTGCTGGCTGGCTGGCTGGCTGGCTGGCTGGCTGGCTGGATGGCTAGTGGTTTTTCTGCTGTTTTTCAATTTCCATTCAGTCGCCCGTTCAACTATCTCTCTCTCAACAACTTAATCGTTTCTGCGTTAAGCATGCGAACTGTTGCCTTTTTTGCCCAGCTGTCTTTGCATGCAAATTTCCGCATGTGAGTGTGAATGTGAATGGTTGTGTGTGTGTGTGTGTGTTGCTCTTGGACTCCTTTGGCCAAGTTTTTGCATTGCTAAGCCCGTAATAACCCATTCTTTTTTAGTAAATTTTCGGAAACGTCGAAAGTAAACAAATTGCAGATGAGTTTATCCCACCGACACACAAACAAACAAGCTGGCTGGCTGGCAACACTTTCTCATGCATGGAACAAGGGGTTAAAACGCTTATCATTTGTTGCCTTTTGGCCAGTGGCTTTCTCCCCCCTTCCCCCTTGCTCCTTCCTCCTTCTGCCCACGATTGTTCTCGGCTCCTCTTAGCCTTCGCTTTCATCTCACAAATCCACTTAGTGTGTGTTTAGTGCTGCGGAGTGTGTTTCGCCTCCTGCTGTTCTCCTGCTTTTTTTCCTGTTGCAAAAATCCTGACTCATGTGATTTATGTGACTCCCTTTTCCCACATCCTTGCCAGCTTCAAGTTGCTACTATTTGGAAGCTATCCAGAAGACGGGAGCGAAAAGCGAGGCCAGGACAAGATTCTTATGGCACTTTGAATAAGTTTTCCTGGCATTTATTGCTCAGCCCAAAAGCAAACTGCATTATGAGCTTTTCGGCAGGGCGATAAGGAGCCAAAAGAGGGCTTCGAAATGGCGAAAACAGATTTGTTGGATTTAAATCATCAGATATGTAGTTCGCTGGGGAAAAACTTTGCCAAATAACAGGGGCGTCCTGGGGAGGCTTTCATTCCATTTTCCGCACGGCACAGTTTCTTTTAAAATTACGAAGAAAATCAAAAGTACATTATCTTGACGTCTTAGACATCGCTTATTCCCTTGACTTGTATTTTAACACCAATTACATTGCCCCGAAAAAGTGGCAGGCTGATATTTATGTGTACAAATGTCCCGATATTAATCAAAATCGTTTATGTATATTCATGAAGTAGCTATTTGAATAATCTGCTAAAAGCCCGGGATAATCTCCGCTTTCTTCTTCATCTTGTGGTTGGCTTTCTCTGCTCTTGGCCCTAATGATGAATTAAAGCCATTTCCTGTGGGTTACTCTGTGTTCGACTCTGTTTGACAAAAGCCCCAACAAAGGCGCTCAACCAACTGACACAAAAGTCTGCATAATCAATCAGTTAGTCGCTGTGTGTGTGCTTCTCGGTCCTTCCCCGAAAATTTCCCCTCCCTCCCCCTGACCCAATGTGCCCCAATCCTTATTTTCTGTGTAGCCTTCTTTGCATGTTAACAGATGAGCAAAAAATTTGCTTACGCAGCTTTTTGGCGCCTGCCGCAGACTTCCTTCCGGCCATGGCCAGCACCCCGCTCCCCTCCCTCTCCCACTCCCCGCAACCTGCATTCTGATCACTCACTTACACGGCACAAAAAAAGGGAGTCTAGTATCACACAAACATTATACCTCAATTCAATATTTTTAACTGATTAATTAAAATTGAATTATTTGATTTATATTTGATTTATGTGATTGAACAGTGAACATATTTAGTTTCTCCTATAGTTTTTGTACAGTGCACTGAGTGCATTTTGCATGGCACAAAAGTCAGCCCCAGTTTGGTGGTTAGAGGGGGAGAGCGGGCCGCAGAATGAGCGATGAGGGGTCTCAAATGTGAGTTTGGCAAGTGTAAAAGCTTTTAAACATACAAACACAGACAGACGCAATCACACACTGGCTCACACACACCCACACACTGGCACACACACACAGAGAGACATGCAGCTGCATTTGCAAGCTGTGCATAAGCTGGCATCAATGTAATGAAGATGTATTTGCATATTGTAGCACTGTCAATCTGCCGGCTGCCTGACTTTTCCACTCTTAACCCATCTTGCGCTGGTGCTCGTCGTCCTCTTGGCCCCCCTACATTAACCCTCTTCAGTGGCGCTTCCCCTTTAAGTTTGCTTTGCTTTTGATGGCCCTCGAGGGGATCCATATTCCATCTGCCAGCTCGTGCTCTTCTTCGATGGCGTTGTTGCACTTTATTGACGTGCACGAATGCTTTCTTGCCATTTTTGTTTGCAAATATATCCCTTATTGTTGCCTTGGCCGAAAAAAGGACAGTTTTCCCTGTGCGAGCTTGCATTTATTCGTGTTTGTGCCCCGCGTTTAACCGTAGTAAACAAAAAATGAATAAATGTAATAGAGAGTTGCCTCCAGTGCTTAGTTCGCTTTCTTTTTTTATTGCATTTCATATGCGGGAAGGGAAGTGAGCAAAGGGAGGACAGGGCCAAAAAAATGGCTAACAATATTCAACAACGTCCTGCGAGTCCCGGGCAATAAAAACCCCCAAGAACAACAAGCAGCCACCAAAAGTGTATTTTTTTCGGGTTTTGGTGCTCATAAAGCGTAAAGATAACACACAAACACACCGCTCATAGTTGTGGCCAACACACACACACACGCACACACAGAAACGGAGGGGATATTACGCATACGACCCGCTGGCGCTTTACAGTCACCACTGCTGCTGATCCAACTCAAAACTCTCGCTGCGGCTGTTCATCTTGGTTTCCATTCAGTTCAGTTCAGTTCGGTTGGGTTCGGTTCGGTTTTTATTATTTAATATTTTAAAACACTTGCGGTGTTATTGGCATCCCAATAACAACAACAAACAACAAAGGGAACACGAAGAACGAGGTGCAGAAGTTGGGAGCAGCTGGATACTCTGACTGGACTTTTAGAACCGAGCCAAAATCCACAATATAAATTCAGACAGATTTTCAAATACAAACAGTGCACGCTAAAATGAAACTGACTTCTAAATTATGTATGAGTCGACTGTAGATTAGTCTCCTTAAAAAGTGGTACAACTTCTACTTAGAGTAGACAAATAATAAAACACACATAACAACATTGCCCATGCGGCAGAAATGGATTCCGCAAAAATTCGAGCTCACCAAGACAGACACACTCGCACACCATAGACACTCCCCGAAAAACAGGCTGTGGATGCCAAAGGGCACCTCCTGCTCGCCCATCCTGCCCACTTCGTCCTTGTTGGTTTTGCTGCCTTGCTGCGGTTGGTGTTTTGTGCTCGAGTGAACTTAAAGCAAACTCGGCAAAGACTTTAAGCCGAGTCCGAATGTTCGAACAGCATATTGCCAAATAATATTTATTTGCGACACGTCCCGCCCCCTGACCTCCTATAATTAGCATGGAAAAGGGCGCAAAACATTAGGACTCCCAGTGCTTAACTTGTCATAACTGAAAGCGAGCCAAAGCCCGAAATGCCAACAGAAATGTTTGCCCAACGTTTTTACCACCCCTCCCCCTCCATCTGCCCCTCTCGATGGCCCACACTTTTTGACATAGGCCAAACTTGCAGGATCTGGAAGCCAGGACCTCACTCTTTTCGCAGGACTGACTGAAAGTCTAGCAGCTTAATGTGTCAGAAAATAGAAAGTTTGTGCCGTCGGTCGGTTCCTGGGCTCGGCTCGGCAAAAGTTTATCAATCAAAACGGGGCAAAGTTGCTCTAACAAATCTCTTCGCAATCTATGTGTAATTTTCTGCAGTTTGCTGTTCTCTCATTATTTCATCGGAATTTATTCGCTTCTTGTTCACTTAGTTTCGACGAACCAACCGAGTTTCTTCCAATAAAAGGGGGAGTGTGATTGGACAGAAACCCCATTGATTTATCCCAATTTACACTAGCTTAAGGATAACCCTCAGGGATCAATTAATCCCTTTCTGTATAGATCACTCACCTAAGTGCTGGTCGACTCGCTTCTTGGGCTTCTGCACGGATGCGTAGGGATCGCTGCAGTAGTCCTGCCGGGACGGATTCTGGCTGTTGCGCAAGTTGTGGTACTCGTCGCCCACCTGGCTGGGCGTGGCCGTAAGGTGGGGATAGGGGGCGTAGTCGTCCACCGCCCCGTAGCCGCCGTGGGTCAGCGGATCGTATCCGTAGGCCGGCTGCTGCTCCACGTACTGGTTGAGGGGGGCCTGCACCAGGCCCTGCTGGTTGCCCACCGCCGCGGCCGACATCTTCACCTGCCACAGGGAGTCCTGCGAGTTGACACTGCCGCCGTTGTTCGAGTTCGAGTAGTTGTTCTCCATGTAGCCCATGTTGACCCCTGGAAACAAGCGAAAAACGCAGATGATGTATGGATACGTTTCGAACAAGTACAGATGGCATACATTCGCCAAAGAGTTGCGAAATCAAATAATTTCCAGGTATTAAAATGATTAAAGAGTAAGGAAAAATTATTTATCTTATTGAAGTATTATAAATTAAGTAGTAGAAAAATATTTAATATTAGCTAAATAAATGAGTACTCAGTGGCTACTATTTTATCCCCTATCGTACTTATGTAAAACAGTGTCTATTTGGCTTTTGGCCAAGGAAAACTTTCGCTCGTTGGCAGTAACATAAAATTTAATTAAAAATAAGTAAAACTTTGCTCCCAAAACAAAGTTGAGGCTCTCGCTTTTTGGGACAACTTTTGGGCCGGATTTTTATTGATTAACACATAAAAATGACAGAGGCATAAAATTTATTAACTTCGACTTTCCGACAAGGCGTAATTAATAGTTCAGCACATTGCGCATACGCCGCGTGCGCCACTTAAAACCTATTCGAGCGTCGTAAACCCTCGAAGAGCTCCGAATCTCTCCACCTTTCCGTTTTCTCCATTCCATTTTGACAAATTTTTATGGGGTACGCGGACGGAGAAGCCTTTGTCCTTCGACGAGGAGCAGCTGGTGTTCCCATTCTCCCATTCCCAGCACCGACTTTTCCATTTTCATTCATTGTCCCTATGCTTGCTGGTGCGTGCTCGCTCCCCGGACGCATTTATTATTATTTTTATATCGTGATAAATCACTCATAAATATTAAACGCACGCTTGCCGACAAACAAAACTTTTCGAATTTTGAGCTCGCTGCGGAAAAATTGTTTCCAAAAGTATTTAATCTTCCGCATTTCAGGGGATTTGTCCCAGTTGGAAGGATTTGCCGAATTCAGTATTTTGCCTAAGCCAGAATGGTTAATATTTAAATTGCACACAATAATTAAGTACGATTTCAGGAAAATAATTCGCATGGTATTAAATATTTTTGGACTAATCCTAATGGGCTTTCCTCAGTTTTGTTTATTTATCCTGTCAGTCATTGATTTAGCAGTGTACTATTTTTCTCACGCATCAAAAAGTATGCAATAAAAATGTTCGATTTCAGAAGACTTCCCCAGATTGAGTGCCATATTTTTATACCCTTGCAGAGCAAAAGGGTATTATAATTTCAGTCAGAAGTTTGCAACGCAGTGAAGGAGACACCTCAGACCCCATAAAGTATATATATTCTTGATCAGCATCACGAGCAGAATCGAAATATGTATGTACGTCTGTCCGTCTGTCCGTCTGTCCGTCTGTCCGTTTCCGCGCAAACTAGTCTCTCAGTTTTAAAGCTATCGTGCTGAAACTTTCCCAAAAGTTGTGTAGTTGTTGCACGCAGTATATAAGTCGGAACGAGCCGGATCGGCCGACTATATCGGATAGCTCCAATACAAGAGAATGAAATAAAAAATTCTCACTTTGTTGTTTTTCATCAGATCGACTTGAATTCTTCAAGATGGCGTTTTCTAACTGTTATTGAATTTCGGATTAAATTTGATCAAAATCGGATAACTCTATCATATAGCTGCCATAGGAGAGATCGAAAATTATATATAGAATTAATGGAAATAAATTGATAACATCGTTGTTTTTCATCAGAAAAGTATGATTTTTGGAATATAGAGTGTTCTTACGACTCTTGAATTACGAGCTAAATTTGATCAAAATCGGACAACTATATCGTATAGCTCCCATATGATCTATAGTCAAAAATATGGGAAATGAATAGAAAAATCGTCTTAGCTTCGATGTTGTCTAGCCTTTATGTGTTTTGTTCGACATATTTGATGACTGCAAGGGTATATAAGCTTCGGCTTGCCGAAGCTAGCTTCCTTTCTTGTTTGAGGTCTGAAATGGCTAGTAGTTCGGGAAATAGGCCCATATATCCCTCCCTAACCTTGACGTGTTGCGTGGCCTTTTTGCGAGCGATTTTATGGAAGTCTGCGCTCTTTTCGCGTGTCCTCAGCTGGAACAAAGGCTCGAGTTTAGGGCCCCGATTTTATGCCTCGTTTTGGTGGGCGTGATAATTTTTATGATTAGCCATAAAACTAAAACAGTAATAATATTAACTTCATTTACATTTCATGCGGCCAACTTTCCTGGCTGTTTATTTGCTCAGCCAATTTGCATATTTGCTTGAGTAATTTTATGCCGCAACGTTCTGCCTATATACATTTTCCAATTGCAATGCGGGGGGAAAAACAAGGACCGAAACTTTTCAATTTGATAAGCATCAAATCTTCTGTCGGCGGCAACTTTTGATTGCTCAAGTTTGCCAAATATTTGACCGAAATAACAAAATTTCGCCTCCCTCGCTGATGAAAATTTTAATGCATTTCCATTGTCTGGAGGGAAACATTTGCCTACTTCTTTTTTTTAGCAATTAAAGTTTGTCAAAGTTTTGTGCATTGATTTGAGCAAATAACAACAACAGTTGCGGCATAGTTCTTGGCCTGCTGCCACGCCTCCATTTTCCCCATTTTCCCGAGTTTTGCCGTGTTTCCGCCCCTGCCAACAGCTTATTATTAAACCCGCTCCCCACTCGGAAAATCTTTTCATGTGAAAGTGCTTGGGCTGGAGCAAAGTTTTCCCTCTAATTCACTCGACAAACTTTTCAACCGGAAGCGCTTACAATTATGCAACATTTTTGTGCAGCAGCAGCAGACGCACAATAAAAACAGTTTCAAATGCCATTAACGGTTAACTAAATAGCAAGCCGGGCCCGGGCGCCAAAGGGTTAAGGATGGGGGCCAACTTGTGCCGGTTGCCTTCTCACTTTTGCTGCCCCAGCTAAGCCCCCCACCTCCCATCACCACTGAACTCAACTCAACTCATCCGAACTGAACTCAAGTCCTGTTCGTTGTTTTTCGGGGTGTTCTCGGGGTGTTAATGGCACCAGTTCGCTCCTTATCTGGGTTTCTCACTCTACACAGCGAAAAAATAATGAGGAACCTTAAAAAAAAAGCACTACCATTCCCTAAATGTAATTGCACTGTCTGATTGTTATTTAACTGATGTAATCTTTTCTGTTTAGTTCCGAAAATTGATTTTGAATATATAGAAGAGCCCTTGTTTTCTAGCCATGCAGCTGAGATTTTCCCTGCCATTTCCCCCACCCGGGTGACCTTTTCCTTGTTGCACTTTTAATTAGCGACGCGACTCGGAGACGCGGAGACTCCGGGAGTCGAGAGTCGGAGGCTGCTTGGCATTTGCCCTAAATGCGCTTAAATGAAGCAGGCACAACAAGGGTTGAGTTTCGGTGGAAAAGGCGCGGAAAAGCCGGGAAAGTGCCAGGGGATGGGGATGGGAAAGGGGGCACGGCGCACTAGTGCCGAGTTCCTGCACTTGCCGTGTTGCACTTTTCCGACGCTCCGTCCGCTCCTCCCGCCAGCTTCTTTGTGCGGCGAGTTGGGCAAAAAGTTTGGCTCGTTGCAACAGCTTCAGCTTCTCAGATTTTTTCGTAGCGTAATGAATGAAAAGCCTGTGGGGCGTGGCAGGGAAAGTAGGATAACTTTGTTAGCGAAACTCCCCCTGGAATTCGGCTTTTTGTTCCTGTTCAGCCGGCCATGGCGGCATACTCGGCCAAGAAAGTGAGTTGACGAACACCCGCCGACAGGTCAAGGGTATTGGCAACTCTTCACCATATTTTAAAGCCCGCTCTCTGCAATTTCGCAGCGATTCGCCAACTGTGTGCAGATTTAAGCCAATTAGTTTGGCCAGCTGTAAAAAACAAAAGCCAGCAACTGGAACTCATAGATGGTCTCTTCGAAACGTTGTTCGTGTGCGGTTGGGTTTCGGTTTGTTTTGGGTCGGGTTGTTGGTCGGCAGGGTTGGGGTTCAGTGGGTTGGTCACCCAGTCAGCTGTGCCAAGGCTGCAAATGACCCCTTGACCCCGTCGTGTTAACCCCCCGCTAACAACTGAACACAAGACAAACATGTTCGAGAGGCAATCACTGCAAAAAAAGAGACATTGGGTGGAACAAAAGGCAGCTCGGCTGGCCTAAAATTCAGCAGCAGGCGTGCACTTAAAGAAATACATTGCAATCGGGTAAGTAGGTGATGAACATAAAACCGAAGATAAATATTAAATAAAACTTCGCTCTTCACTTTTGCCTTTACTTAAAATTCTATTCCATTTTCGAAACTATTCGCAAAATGTTTGTTTTGGGTTTTGCTTTTCATTTTGGCTTCCCTTAAATTTTTCTCAATCAACCCACTTTTCTGCCGCGTTTTTGGGGCGCGCAAAACTATTTTGCGGCTATTTGCTTTGTGGGGCTGCATTTTAAGCCGAGAACAGAACTGAATTGAACAGAGGAGAGCAGAATGGAACGGAGGCCCCTCCGAATCGCAGTGGAAGCACCCCCGACCAGCGGAATCCCGGCCAAACCGAACTAAACCAAACCCAACTAAAACATGGCAGACATTTGTTGGCCCAACGCGCGGGTTCATGGCTTTATTTATTTAGCGCATAAATTTGCCGAGCGCGAGATTCCTTCTGTTCTTTTTGCCCGGCTATTTTTCTATATTTTTATTTTGCTCCTCTCTATTTTCAACGGTTGGTTGGCCGCCTCCTCTGTGTGGTGTGGTGTGTGCGACGACGACATTTGTTTGCTTTTATTTGGTTTTCCAAACTCCAGCTGCTTGTTCTGCCATGCATTTGTATGCTGGAACATGTCCTGGCCATCGTCTAGCCGTAGGCGTGTTTTACATAAACATTCTGTATGCACAATACCCCGACTTCTGATCCTTTAACTCGAGGAGAGTGCAAGAAACTTTAGGAAAAGTCTCAGGGGATAAGGCTTGGATGGGGTTTAGTATTTAATAACACAGATTAGGATAATAGCCGTAGCTACTTAAAAGAAACTATCATCGTTTGAAGTTGATACTTATAATTAAAGCTCAAACTCCAGACGACTCCCTTTAACGCTCGTTTTATTGGCTGCACTTTCGCTCCTCTCCTGATTGTTTTTATTGTCGTCGCCGGTTTACATGCAAAGTTCATTAGGTTTTTGGCCTAGGTCGAAAGCAATTGTGGCCACGGGGACCGGGAAGGGGCCGAACGCCAAAGGACCTGAATTGGCCGCCCGTTAACGAGCCCGAAAAGTGCAGGCACCTACAGCGGAGCTCCAGAACTCTCAGTCGCAAACAAAGTGTAAAGTAAAGGGTTTCTACACAGGGAGAATATTTCACATCTTCAACATCTTATTTAGATCTTGTTAACGAAATACATACTAAGATGTTCATATTCCTATTAATCTCACAACAACAGCTTCGAATGGAGTTCGAAGCACATATTTCGCTCAGTGGAAAAAACTTCGTATCGTATCGTTGGGCTTTCGGGGGAAACATCTGCCAAAGGACATTTTCGTTGGGAGCCGTGTGTTTCGGCTCTTGGCTTGTGGCTGCTCCTTAAGCGGCAATTAGCGCTCACAATGCAATGGAGAAGCGAGAGGAAAATGGAAAAAGGAAAAAGGAGTTTCCCGAACACCCCGCTTCCCTACGTTTCGTTTCGTTTCGCTTCGTGCAGTTGCAACCCTTTATTATTCATGCCACTTTCACTTGGCAAATTAGCTGTTACTGCAACTCCCCCTTTCCACCTGCTTCAATCGCTTTCAAATGCAATTAAGTGGCAAACCCCCTTAACCCCTTAATGCCCCGCGAGTGCGAGTGCTCGCCAGACTAAGCGCCTTAAAATTTTAATTGGCCTTCGAAAACAATTGAAACACGAAATTGGCACGGCAAATTGCTGCTGTTCGGGGCTTAAAAAATGTAAAAGTAAATTAAATTGCCAGCGTCCAGTTATAGAATCGCTTCCCTATCTTCGTGGTTAAAAGGAATTTTTAATTTGAACATCATTACCAAGTGCCGAGCGCTCTTCCCTTCCTCAGTATGTGAAAGGTTAAAATCTGAACAGGAAAAAGTGTGTGGGGTTGGGTGGTCGGAAAAGAAGAACGAGGACCAGCACAATTAATAATGAATTGTGTAAAACCACGGAAGGGAATCAGGGGAGGTTTTCTGAACAGAACAGAACGCTCCAGTCCGCTGTTACGCATTCAAACAGAGAACAAGAGTCCTGGTGAAAGGAAACCGGGGGATTCCCCCACTCGAAGGGACTCCGGGAAAGTGGAAAGTGGGAGGACAAGTGGGCGGAAAGGACGTCACGATGAATGGACGACAGCAACAATTGCAAAATGGAAAGTATATTACAAAGTGCTGCAGACCAACGGCAAACAGTAACGGGCAAAAAACATCAGCAAATGTTGAAGCGTTTAGAAAAAATTGCTGTTTCAACAAATTTACAACGGAAGTGAAAAGTGGAAAGTGGAAAGTGCTCTCCCCTTCGGTTTTCCATGTGCGTAGAGGGGGTGGTGACAGAACACAAACCGCGCTTGATGAATGCTTTCTACGCCATCGATTTGCACTCAGCTCCGCTCTGCACTTTCCCATTTTCAGGGCCAGCATAATTTCGAAAAAAAGTGGTCGAAACCCCAGGTATCGCCTCACCCAAACACTTTTTCCCTCGAACGCCGGCACGGATTCCATTCTGAGCGGAAGTGTACGTATTTGTGTGGACAATGAAAAATCACTGCAACCCAAACGGAGGTGAGTGCCCAGCACCCCGTGGATGAAAAAGGGTCCGAAGGACGTGCCCGAGCGGAAGTATTTCGCACTTTGGTCCTCGATCTTTTAGTTCTCCCTTTGGTTAACACCTAAGTTTTAAACTCCGGTTTTAACAAACTGGATTTCAGCAGGTATCCTGAACATCCTAAAACCCTTTTACATAAATGTAATAACTACTTTTGAATGGCATTCCAATATAGAGTAGATTCCCCTATTTCGACTTTCAAAATAGATTCTTTGTGTATACTTACATTCGTTTCCTGGCATCGTGTGTGCATTGAGTCCCGGGATTCCGTTGACGCCGACGCCACTGCCGCCGATTCCGCCGACGCCCACCACGCCGCTGCCCATTCCGCTGACCACGCTGCCGCCCACGCCCACGCCCACCACGCCGCCCCCGAGGCCCACGCCCACCACCCCGCTGCCCGGGTGGTAGCTGTACCCGTTCTGGGTGGCGTACAGGGCGGTCTTCTGGTCCTCCATGCTGAGGGCGAGGTCCATCGAGTGCTCCAGCGCCTTGTTGTCCAGCCCGGAGGCGGGGTAGTAGGGGGCGGGGCCTGGTTCTGCTGGGCGGCCACGATCGAGGGTCGGACAGAGTCCATCTCGTAGTCCTTGGCGGCGGCGCTCTTCTTCGACTGGTTGCGCTTGCAGCGGCAGAACATCAGGATCAGTCCGGCGAAGAGGGCGAAGACCACGCAGGACACGATGATCGCGATCAGGGTGGGCGTGGCCAGGGCATTAGCCTCCGCTATATACGGTCTGCCAACTGTCGAGGGGAAGAGGAAAAGAATGGGTGAATTAGAGATATATCATATCCATCAGAAATCCCTTTATCTTCACTCAAAAATATCTGTGATTCAATAAAGTCAAGTTTTTCATTAAGAACCACCTTTAAGTTAACTACATAATCGTTGTCTTTACGATTTCCCAACCGAGTCTTAATTTTCATTCCTGTTTTCGGCTCTGCCAGCGAGAACAAGATGAAATGAAGCCATGAAAAATGCATCGCAAGGAGCTGAAGTGGATGGATGAACGGATGGATGGATGGTTGGCTGGATGGATGGATGGATGGATGGTTCGCAGTTTGAATGATTGGTGGCAAGGAGGGAAGAGACCGCGGGATAAGTGATTGATTGTCCGCCGGCTGGCGGTCATTCAAGTGGTGCAATTGCTCGTAATGGCTTTGCATATAATGGAAATCATCAGCATCGCTGGAAATCCTCTCATTTTCCCTCACTCACCCCATGCATTTTCCACCCACTTGTACTTTTACGTTTTCTTCGATTCAAGAAGGCTCTTTCATCTTTTTAACTTGTAGTTCTGTAGTTCTTTTTTACTTTTCCCTTTAAATGTATGAAATTCCTCTCTAAAATACTAATTTTCTGGTGAAGGGATATCTTTAGGGGTACTTACTCTCCGCATCCGTGTAATCCCCGCAGTGCTCCGTGTTGGTCCGCAGGCACAACTTGACCCGCACGGTGGGACTGTTCTCGTCCTCGAGGGCCAGCGAGTTCAGTCCGTTGTCCTCCTCGTCCTCGCTGATGGTGTGGCCCAGGGCGCGTCCTCCTCCGATCCTCCTGGCGCCGATGACGCGGTCGATGACCTTCTCCTTGTGCGTGGGTCCGTTCCCGGACAACTGCAGGTTGTCCACGGTGGCCACCACCTCCCAGGCGGCCATCGGGGTGTCCCCGTTGACCATGGACTCCACGACGGCGACCAGGGAGAGGCAGGTGGCGCCCACGTCGATGCCCAGGGTGCGGGTGCTCGGCTCGTAGGTGACCTGCAGGGGGGGCGGGATGCGGCTGACCTTGGTGGTGACCAGCACCTCGCTGGAGTAGGGCGAGCCGCTCTTGGGATTGAGCGCCTTGACCTTGAACGCGTAGCTCTGGTGCTGCTCCAGCGAGGTGACCCGGCAGGGGATGTCCCGCTGGCAGTCGACCTCCACCCAGTCGGAGTTCGAGTTGGCCATGTTGGCGCAGTCGGGGATCAGCTGCTCCTCGCGCGGCATCGCCACGCGGCGGTAGCTCACGAAGAACTTGGTCTTGCTCAGCCCGCCGTCGAAGCCGGGGTCCCAGCTCAGGGCAACGAAGTTGTGGCCCACCTCGGTGGCGCGCAGGTTGGTCGGCTTCTCCGGCGGACCCTTCTGCTGCAGCCGGATGGGGGCGCGGATCGTGTCCAGGGTGTTGGCCACCCGGCAGGTGTACTCGCCGTAGTCCGAGTGGGTCAGCGCGTTGATCTTCAGCACCGAGGTGTACACGTCGTTGTTGTCCGTCGTGGTGCTGATCTCGTAGTGGCCGTCGGAGGACATGGTCAGCGGCGAGGGGTTGTTGCCGAACTGCCACTGGAACTCCGGCTTGGGGTAGGCCTGCACCTTGCAGACCACCTCGGCGGTCTCGCGGATGTCGAAGGCCACCTTGTTGTACTGGTGCAGCACGATGGGCTCGTGCTCGATGCGCAGCTGCATCGAGGAGTTGGCCGAGTTCACCTCGTTCTGGTACAGGCAGGTGTACAGTCCCCGGTCGCCGGGCACCAAAGCATTTCCGTTGGGACGCGCCTTGCCCCGGAACTTGAGCTGGCTCTGCACGGTGACCATGCCGTTGAGGCCCTGCTCCGGGTTGGTCTGCACCTCGTACAGGTTCTCCTCGGGCAGGATCTCCACCGCGTCCTTCAGCCACTTGACGCTCGGCGCCGGCTTGCCCTTGGCGCTGCAGGTGACCGTGTAGTCGGTGTCCGCCACGCGGCGCGTCATGTGCTGCTGCAGCTTGGCCAGGAACTGCGGCGGCTGGTGGATCTCCAGCACGATGGTGGCCATCATGCCGATGCCCAGCTCGTTCACCGCGTGGCAGTGGTACTTGCCCTCGTTGCCCAGATGCGCCTTCGGTATGGAGTACTGCGGCCCCTGGGCCAGGATCTTCTGGGTGCTGGGCACGTCGCCGTCCATGTCCCGGAACCAGCGGTACTGCGGCACAGGCCATCCGGGTGGATTGGCCGAGCAGGTCAGCGTCACTCCGTTGCCCACGTGCACCACCGGCTTGTTGGGGGTGATGTAGGCCTGGCCAGGCCGATGGCGCACCAGCAGGGCCGCCGTGGAGTTGCCGACGCGCTCGCTGCGCTCCATTCCCTGGCTCTGCATGATGTTCACCGCGCGGCAGATGTAGTTGCCGGCGTGGTCGGCGCGGACGGAGGTGAGGGTCAGGACGTCGCCGTTGTAGCGGAAGTCGGGGCTGTTCTCCTTGAGCCACTCGACGGTGACGGGGGCGGGGTTGGCGGTCACGTTGCAGCGGATGGTCACCGTGTCGCCCTCCTCGGCCTCGCGGGTCTTCGACTCGATGACCACCATGGGCGGGTAGAGGATGTCCAGGATGAGCTCCTGCTCGCCGGTCTTGCCCAGCCCGTTGTCGGCGATGCAGGTGTACTTGCCGGCGTCCTGCACACTCACCCGGTGGATGGTGTGCACCAGGGAGGAGCTGATGAAGCGTCCGTTGCGGTTCCAGCGCACATTCGGCACCTTCGGCTTGGCGTCCACGTTACACTCCAGCTTGGCAGTCCGGTCACGTTCCACCCGCAGCGGGTTCTCGGGTCCGACCTCCACGCGGGGGTAATCTGCACGTTGAGAGGGAGAGGAAAAAGAAAAACAGCGAAAATTAGTCAAGTCACACAGGCAGACGGCGAATCAAAGCGACCGCTGGATGAAAATTAATAAACACGCAGCATTTTTGGCATAATCAGGCGGCATAATCCGAACTTCTAATTGAATTAATCAGGGCAACGAGTGCGGGGCGCTCGCTGGTCATGATTAGTCTGCTGATTAGACACGAAATTTGTCAATTATTAATTAAACTAATGAAGTGTCTGTAGGTCGGCCCGACCGAGACTCATTAGCCGAGTTGAAAGGCAAGTGGCGGGATAATTTGGTGTGAAAGAACTGCTAACCTTGTTAGAAGGGGTCAGCTGGTCAGATGGTTTAATGGATACTTTTTGTCTTGTATATCTTATAAAACGTTCTATGTTTTGAATTATTCCACTCTAATTAGTTGATGGAATTTCTACCTGAGTAATTTCCTACCATTTTGCGGAAGTATAAACCAAGTTTACATAAGCCTAGGAATCTCCGACTTCAGCAGGTGAGGTTCCTCCGCTCGGAAAACCCCGCCCCTGCACTTGAATGTCAAGGAACTTAGCCGCGAGCTGGAGGATCTGGCTGCAAGTCATAGTCCGACATTAGCGGCCTCTTATGCACCGCAAATGGCGTGAAATGATGTCCGAGCCACCGCAGCCACTTCGTAATTAACTGCCCCCCGGATAAGTGTCGCCAGCTGGCTAATGACTCTGGCCATAAACCCGCACTCCGCGCCATCGACAGCCGGCGAAAGGAGGCGGCAGCCTCGAGAACTTTGCCTCCTTGCCTCGCCGCAATCTCGAGAAACTGGAGCAGGCGACCCGCGGACTCGGACTTGCTCGCAGTTTGAAGTTTTAGTTGGCATCCCGTCCTCTCATCCATCTCCACTCGGCCAATCTCCGCCTGCAAATTATAGTAAATTGCGTGATTCTCCCCGCTACCTTTTGTGAAGGGTCTGGAAAGCGGGTTCAGGTGTCTCGGCTTTACAGAGCAACAGGAGAATTAAGTTGTGAGTGGAGCTTGCAACATCTTGGCTCAATGAGTCAATTTATTTATCATTATGCTTGACCACAGTTAAAACCGTTTGAGTAAAAGGCGAGTTGGATCTATAATTTTCTAGATTAGATAGTGTGCTTAACAAATTTCTTTTTAAATGATATAATCATGCCCCCGCTTTTCTCGCAGTGCACCTTGAACCCGAGCTCAGGTCTCGGCGTCTTTTGCGTGTTTATGTGCGTGTAATTACGTCTGATTGTCTGGCTTTGTCCGCCGCCTCGGCGACCATTAAAGCATTGTTTTGTTAGAAATCAAGACTGCTTCTGTTTCGTTTTGTTCTCGGCATAAAGGGTATATTTGCCCCAAACTCGGCAGTTCTGCTTGTTCGTTCTGGATTCGGTTCCTGAGCTCGCCGCCGTTTTTGTTTGCGTTCTTGCCCGCTAAATGGCTTCAAATTGGCTTAATTGTCACTTTGCGAACATGTTTTGCACATTTGGGCCAGGTTGGATTGCACTGCATTCCGGGCATTTTCCGGGCGGGGAACGCCGGGCGGGGTAGTGACCTGAAAATAGGCCTTTCATTCCCCTGATTACTTTAAAATGGACCCGGCAACAGTCGACGTCGAGTGGAGCGGAGTTCCTTCAATTATTTCCAGAGCCAACGCTTCGTGTCCATAAATAATCAACCAGCGAAAGGAATGGCGAGCGGGGAAGCCAAAGGGACGGTGGCAAACAATTTTATGCGTGTTTTGCATATAAATTTCTTGCTCAACGCTCTCGGACATAGCCCTTAAATTATGTACGCAAATAATTGAATTAGTTTGCAGGATCAAAAAAAAAAAAAAAAAAAAAAGTACTAAGAGAGAAGAGAAGAGAAGCGTCGGAAAAATGAGGCGACCTCTGGAAATCGTGTTAGAAATATTTTTCCAATCAATTGCCAAATTGTTGCCAGGTTTCTGCCCTTTTCCCCCAATTACAAGTACTGCAAAAAAGAAAACGACCCGACCATTCAGTTGGAAAATACTATTAACAAACACAAAGGACCCTCGCCCGAAAAAGATGGAGAGCAAAAGGAAAAGCATCTTCCGAGCCGAACGCCCACGTAGAAAAAAATTTAAAAATTTAGTTTACATCTGGGATTGCACAGCAATTTGTATGACTTATCCTGAGTGCAGAGCAAAATAAGATAAATTTAATTGTGCATTTCCACATTCTCCTAACTCGATTTTGCGACACGAGCAGATGCTAGATGCTGAGGGTCTAATTCAATTTATCCGGGGCTCTTCTCGAGCAATTAGTTATAAGGTTAACTGGTGCTTAAGGAACTCAACGAAAAAACTGGCTAAGCTTGCGAATTTAAGAAGTATGTGCTTTAAGTATCTCGCTACCTAAGATTGAAAAAAGCCATCGAAAGAGCAATGAAATTAGAGCAAACAGCAGCCAGCTAATATTAATTTTAATTTTAATTACCGAGTGGCAGGGAAAAACAGAGAGCCCAGCAGATCCATTAAAAATAATCGACAGAGCTTTAACTCCCTCAATGGCCGTTGCTTAACTTGGCCAAATCCAATTTTGATGTGTGGGCGAGGGGCGGTGGTAAAAGAGCGGTGGGCGGTGGGCGGTAAAATTGGGGAAGGCACGCGCTGAGCCACAGGCCACAAAAGCCAAGGAAGCCGGGGCAGAAGCGATTTGATATGACCAACAAGCGCAAAACCAAACCGAACGAGCAACTCGTCCTTGCCCCCCGAGTCGCTCCCCCTTAACCCACCAGCCCCCACCCGTCCACAATCCATTCAAGACACGCGAAATTGGCAGGCCAAAAAACATTTGGCCCGAGGTCCAAGATAAATGATAAGGCGACTACGACTTATCCCAGTTTCTCCTCCTTTTTCGCTCCTTCTCCTTCTTTCGGTTTCTCCTCGGGCCTTTCTATTCGTAACTAATGAATGTTAAGTTTAAAAAGATACACAAATTTTCCAGAAGATACCATAAATTTAAGAAGAGCTATTGGCCAGGCTTTTGATATCCCCCAGGCCAAAAATTAATGGTTGAATTTAAGTTTTGGAGTGACTGAAAGTCGAGAAGTGGTTTGGGCGAAGTAAGTATACGTACAGTCTTTCGCAAGGCGTATCAATGAATTATGCGGTAATTTGGACAAAGCTTCGGCCCGAGAACCTCTTTACCTAGCCAAGCAATTAACGCTTAAATTCAAGTAGACAAGTGCCTTAAAATGTTATTGACCCATCGAGAGCTCGACTGGCAGACAGCTTCCTCTTCGAATCACAGTCTTATCAACTGGAATCGCTCCTCCGTTCGCCGTTCTCCATCTCCGTCCATCTGCCCCTCGGTGGCCAGTTGTGTGGCATCTTCAAGTTGATGTTGCCATGATTTTCATCATCTACTAAATGTTTTTCTTGGCCTTTCAAGTTTTTCTTGTTTCCAAGCTGCTACATATGGATGTGGATCCACGAGCAGCTCCTCCAGCTTCTTTCAGCGTCTCTCCAGCTGCTGATTCTGCTCCCCGGCTCCTCGCAGCCGGACTCTTACCGTCCAGATGGTTTGCTTTCGCAACTTGTTAGTTTTCTTTAGTGGCCCTACACGGGTTGCTCCATCAGAGACACACAGCCGTACAGCAGCGGGCAAAACGGGAGTTCAGGTGGCAACTTAACTTACATTCTGTGCTTTTCCAAATCCTTTGTGAAATTACTCCAATTTGTTATTGTCTGTTTCCTCCCTATTTTCTCTTTGCCTTTGTGCATAAAATTTAACTCTATTTTATACTATTAGTTCCTATTATTGTAACCGCAACTGTGGCTACGCAAACACACTCCTGGCACTCGCATAGAGACGCTTGTTCCCTGTCTTGTTTTGCTATTAAGTCAAGAATTTTTATAGCATTTAGTTGGAAGAGCTGCACATACTTCTACCTACTCCGAACCCATATCGGGACTCTCCCCCGCCCCCTCCGCATCTGATTTCCCCCACCAACCGCTCGCAAAGTGGAGATACGTACGCATAACTCGTGCCTGCTGTCAGCGCATTTGAGCTACGAGCTCTTGTGGTTTCTGCCTCGGCTTTTTATTAGTTTCTTGTTTGGTTTTCGCCCCCTGCGAGTGGTTTCGGGCCTCGTGTGCGAGCCAAGTGACCAGCAGTGCCATTTCTGGCTAACTAGTTACTAAATTGAGCGCATAAACTAAAACAACTGCGGCCCAGGAGACGAGATGGGAAAAAACAGAGCCGGGAAACAAGAATAGCAAACAGCAGTGGCAATGGCGCAATAGAAAAGGAAGCTCGTTGGCCACTGCTCATAAATTACAGGAAGACATATTCGACGGAGACAAATAAACAACCTGCCCCCTCCGAAAGTCCCCCTCTCCGGTTTCAGGGACAGTATTTAGCAGGCACATTAAGTTGGCTAACAAGAAAATCATTTAATTGAACAGCTCCAACCAGTTCTAGATAAGGAGTTTCGAAGGAAACGGGAGGAGATACTCAGAAGCCGTGAATATACATCGCGAGATGCCTGTGAATGTCTCCATAAAAAGTAGTTGATTCAGTAAGGATAGATAGTTGCAAATGCCATTAGGGAGAGATACTCAAAAGTATCTGTAATGGAAAAGAGAAGAGGTTAAATGTGAGGAAGGGGCCAAATCAGAGTCCAGAAACGCTGGCCATTACAGGTTCCCCACTTGTATCTCCAAATGCGCAAATGGATCTCATCCGTAGGAACGTGCCCAAAACCAAACATATATCTCGCACATAAACCACAAACTCAAAAACGTGCCTGAAAAAGCAGAGCGCATAAAAACAGACTCATGAGTGGCCAAAGTGGAAACACTTTAAAGCGATCACGGAGCGGATCAAAGAAACATATAGCCCAGCATACGGAACGCATATAGACACAGAATGCGGACATTTACCAGCAAATTTCGAGGCTTGTTGTTTCAGGTTTCTGTGTCATTTTCTACGGAAAATCTCCAGAATTCCTG